GCACAGGCAGGAGAGGGGGGCAGCGGAGGTGGTGATGGGGGGGGACAGGACACAGCCACCCCGGGAACGGGGTGCGGAGCATCGCCCGACGGCGTGGGGCTGTGTGGGGGAGATGGGCAGCCTCGTGTCTGCCCCTGGAAGCAAAACGGGGGAGATGCTCCTGAGGTGGGGAGCGGAGGTGGGTGGGTTTTCTTGCATGGTCCTGGGGTGTCACCCGTGGCTGGGCACCCAGGGAAAGCACCGAGCAGGATTCCCCTGGGGTCCCACGGACACCGGAAGGTTGGGGTACCAGTGGGGTGCAGCACCAGCAGCCCATTTCCCTTATTTAAGAGGGGGAGGACGAGCAGGGCAAGGAGAGGGGCAGGTGAGGTGCCCGCAGTGACCTGTTGGCAAACAGCAGAGATGCTCTTGGGAGAGACAAAGCTCCCACCACCTATCCCAGGGACCAGCAACGCAGGGGTCTCCCCGCTCAGGGCCCAGCCCCAGGCACCCCGATAGGAGACAGGAGACAGGGATGTGTCCTTCCCCTTTTCCTCCTGCAGAAGGGGACTGCGGGTGCTCGGAGAACCCCTTGGATGGATGTGCTGTTTATTAACAACCATCCCAAAGTTTTCCAAGAGGCTGAGAGCTGATGGCCCGATTCCATGGGATCTGCAGAGAGCAGAGGCTCTCCGGACGTGCCGGTGAGCGGAGCCGGTTCCCCTCCAGGCTCTCTGCCAGCGCTGCAACGGGATTTTCCGAGCAAGACCCCCGCACAGAGAATCCAAAATGCCATTTGAGTCCCCTCTGTGCCTGCTTCTCAAACATCTCCTTCTCTCAGAGCCAGCTGGTGGCTGAGCCCATTCCTCCACAGCCACGTAGCCAACTGGGGTGGCCAGGAGGTGTGACAGCCCCATGGCTGGGGTCTCCAAACCTACCTGGGCTGGGTGGCAGAGGTCTGGGGGATGCAAAATTCCTCTCCCATGAGCTTTGACACAGGACTTGGCCAGCAGCCGGGCATGGCCAGGTGATTGTCTGACACCCAGGTCATTCCATGGTCCCATCCACAAGCACAGCCGGGTGCCCCATGCCCATGACCACAGGGAAGGTGCCTGGTGCCCACAGCCAGTGCCAAGGGACTTGTGTCAATGTTGTGTGGGATTCACCCAGGGCAGCTTATTGCTTTTCGGTGTCCTGTGTGCAGTCGTGGGGCTTGGAGCAGGGCAGGGGACAAGGGACAGCAAGTTGTGGCAGCAAACCCAGGGCAGCTTATTGCTTTTTGGTGTCCCTGTGTGCAGTCGTGGGGCTCGGAGCAGGGCAGGGGACAAGGGACAGGAAGTTATGGCAGCAGGGACCATGTGGCCAAGCTCTGGTCCCGACTCAAACTTTCCCAGTAGAAGTTTCTGGTCCAGTTTTTGGTTTGTTTGGTTTTGTTTTTTTTTCCAGGGAGAGTTGTGGCACCTTGGTGAGGGGTTTCCCTCCGCTGTCCCAACAGGGCAGGACTGAGCCTGCACCTAAGGTGACCCTGGGCTCCTTGGGAGCCTTTGCATGCTTGGCCATGGCACATCCTAGCCAAACCCACCTCCCTCTCCCTCTGGGATGCTTCAAGTGAGGTCTGGACTTTCAGTGCATGTCTCCAGGGATGAAGGTGAAATTCAGGAGAGCTACCATCCACCTCCACCCCCCGTGCCGTGGCTCCCGTGGCTGAGCTGTCCCCCCCCCAACCCAGCAGCAAACCCCAAAGCGAGGGCTTTGTGCTGCTGCCCCTCTCCCCCTGTGAGCTCCGACGAGCTCACCCTGAGCTCCCGGGGGATGCTGGCGAAAGCAGGGCAGCCCTGCCCGGGGTTGGGAGCACCGGTGGCTCTCCCGGCTGCCTTTCCCAGCTGGAATCAGCCGCCGGGAGAAGTGGGTCATGCGTGGAGGCCGCCGGGAGCCCGGGCGGCGCGGGCAGGCGGCAGCTGCTTCCCAAGACATGATTCAGCAGCTCCAGAGGTCGAGGATGAGGAGGGGGCGTTCGCCAGCGCGCTGCGAGCTGACCTGCCCAGCGTGATTTATTCAGCATCCCAGCTTTACTGGTAGGGGGCTGGTGCTGCTCGTCGCCCTGCCAGGGAAACTGAGGCAGAAAGTGGCGTGGAGAAGGGTGGTTGGGGAGAGGGAAGGGGGATACACGGCTGTGAGCCCCACTTTGGTGCAACCCCGCTGTGCAGACCGGTAAAATGGGGAAAATCTTCTTGCAGCCACATTTCTGTTGTCGGGGTTGCGACTGGGGAGTGCCTGTGTTTGATGGCAGAGGGTCTCCGTGCTTGTCTGCTCCATCCTGCTCCGTCCCCTTGGAGCTGCTGAGGGAAGGGAATGACTTTCCCTTGTGGGAAGGGCTGGGGGCTTGCAGCAGGTCCGGAGAGAAAGGGTTGAAATGAATCTGGGGCACAATTCTGTGCCCCGAGGGCAGAGGCAGCGATGCCCACCCAAAAGGCAGCGATGGGGAGGGATGCAGTGCTGGCGTCCCACAAGAGCTCAGTCCAACTCCATCTGCCCCTCCTTCAGCCCCTGCCCTGCCACCTCCTCTTCCACCCCCAGCCTTTCTGTGCTTTGCAGGTGGGGAAACTGAGGCACGGAGCTGGGCATCAGGTTCCCAGCCCTTCTGGCCGCTGCTGGTGCATGAAGCCACAGCAAGCCCCTGCCAGCAGCGCAGTGGGGTCCTGATCTCACAGGACCTCCGGGCTCCCAGGGGACATAAACACGAATAATGGGGACTTCTGGCTGAGCAGCCACCGGATCATGGGAATCTGTGCTGTGTGGTTAAAACTATGTCGCTAATTGACAATTTCCTCGGTGGGGGAGCCTCGCACCGGAGGAAGCACAGTCTCCTCGCCATGCTCATCTTCCTCCTCCGGAGCTCGGGGGCCTCTGTGGGCTCCATCTCACAGCGGCCGCCTTAACCCTTGCTGGAGCTGGAGCTGGAGCTGGACCCTCCACCTCACATTTGGGGCTGAGTGTTTCATTCCAGTGTCTCCCAAGTGGGCACATCGTCCAACACGACTGGGATAACTGGGCTGCAGCTCACCCATAGCCTCCCCATGTCTCTGGGCTCGTTGCTGTGCCTCAGTTTCCCCATCTGCACTTTAGGACTCGGTCCTTTTTGAAAATCACACCTCACTAGAGCTCTCCCAGGCATGGGGGGGGCCAGGGCAGCCTTCAGCAGCTCTGGCATCTGCATCAGCCCATCTCTCCCCGAGCATCCCCCTTTCTCCAACGCCCTCGCAGCAGTTTATTGCCAATAAACCACTCTCCGAGACCGTGCTGGGGGGGTGCCAGCACTCCAGGGGGGCTCAGCCTTCCCCACTGCCCACCCTCCGTGGCACACAGGGGCCCAAAGCACCCAGGGAAAGAGGGGGGAGCATCAGCGGGGGGTCCTTTGCTCCTTTGCAGACCCCAACTAAGCCTGGGACACCGGGGCTGAAACCACAGCCTGTCCCCACCGCCACATGCCTTCGCTCCCACGCCCACACACACGGATGTGGAACTGCAAAACTTTTGGGATCCCATCAGGGAATAAAACCCAGGGATAATTTCTATTAGCTCTGTGCCGGGCGCAGGCAATGCAACCTGCCACGGCCACCGCAGCCTGTGCCGTGGCCACCGGGTTTCTCCATCACCGTTCCCTCCGTCTCCAGACCCATCAGCTTTCCAAATTCCCAAATTTATGACCTTCTCCATCACTCCTGGTGGGCTCTTTCCCTCTCAGGAGGTGTAGGAGGGGAAGCGAAAGGCTTGCCAATGCAGAGCCAGGCCCCCGGATTTCGGCAGCTGCTTAATCTGAGTTAACACACCTGGATTCAGACAGTTTGCAGAGAGCTTTGAAATACAAAAGCACTCCTTGGATGCCAGACATTATTGTAAGCTTTAGGTTAAAATAGCAAAGAGCCTGAGTAATGAGTCTGGCAAAGCAGAAAACCCTTTTTTTTTTTCCCAGCCGAACCTAAAAATAATGGGTTGAATCCACCCAAAAATGGCATTTTAAGAAATGATTTTGCAGCTCCCCGCAGAGCCAATGTTTTTTGTGGAGGTGTCCATAGGGAAGGGGCTGCCTAAAGGCAAATTTCAGAGCAAAGCTGCTTGGAAAGATCCCCCTGTTGCAATATCTCGCTTTGAACGGGGCCCAATGAAAAACCCGACCTTCTGTGTGGGGACAGCCCTGTCCCATGGCTTGTCACACACCCGTGAATCATTGGGGTCAAGCTGGAGAGAGATGTTTTTCTGGAGAAACCAAGAGCAGCAGGGCTCTGTGCTGCTGACAAGGACACACACAAGGGATGTTTTCCAAAACAACAGGCCCCTCCACGAGTGGAGAAAGGGGCCAGTGTGGGTTTAACAAGCTCTGTCTAGAAATGGCCCCTTTCTCTCCATTTCCCTCCATTCACAGCACCTGGAACCAGCCCTTTTGGCTGCTTCGTGGCCAAGGTTGTTGTGCAGGGATCCCCTTGGCGCATCCCGCACCAGCCTCAGCCTTGGGGCTGCCATCACAGCTCTCAGGGTGACCCAAGAAGAGCCTTTCCCATGTCCCCTCTCCCAGGGCTGCCCTTGCATCCCTTCCAATCTAGAAAGGTCCCCCTCAACACCCCGAGACCTGCAAGGACATCCCTGGCCAAGGGAAACAAAGGCAC